TGTTTAAATAGTCTGAATCTCTCCTTGTCTGGTGCCAGTGGGTTAGGTCTAGGGTTAGGGTTAGGGTTAGGGTTAGGGTCTTTGGTCATTCGTCTTTTGTCTCTTGACCCCTACTGAGCATTAACTTTGTCCTTAAACCAAACCTTGCCTTTAAAATATAGTTATACCTCGAAAGAGAAATTTTGTTTTCAATCCTCCTAATTTTGTCTGACTCTCGTGAGTATTATTTTGTTACTTTGTCTCAAAGCCTTTTTGCCATCCTTGTTTATGAGTGATTCTGATTCGTTACATTTCTGAAACCTTCCTCGTAGAGCGATCCTATTTTGTACTTTGTTTCCACTCCTTGAGAGTGCACCCTGAGTTAATAAAACCTTTTTATAACTCAATCTCTGCATCTGAGTCCTGCCTGGAGTTACCATCCTGACAGGGACACACAATGGGAGTACAAGAGACCTGAAACAAGGGGATGTACCTTTCAAAATAAAACAGGAAATGACAAGACAACCATGGAGACAGGACAAAAACACCAAAATTCCCCCAGACATGACAAGATTTTTAGAGGATTTCAAGATAGAAATCTGTTTGGCTTTTGTGCATTTCTGGGTGTGTGTTAATGATAAAAATCGGATGGAAAATCTCTTGCGTAATAGCTCGATAAACCTTCCATTTGCTGCCTGTTGAATCCTTTGAATGCCCTTTAGCCTCTTTCTCAGACCAATGTTGAGGGCCTCCTGTGTAGAAATCCTCCATTTCAACAGTGCGTGGCTTTTTTTTCTCTCTCTCGCTTTCCTTTTGTTGGCAGCTACCGTTGTTGCGTGCCTTGTTGTCATGTTTACCAATCGCAGCACAGCCTAATCACAGATGGTTCCTCTCATGTCCTCCTCTGTAATAGAGGCTCAAAAAAGACATCATTAAAGGAGTTAGGTGACCTACAATCAGCTGAAAAGGCTCCTATGGTCGAAAAGCTGTTCTTGTTTTGATTAAAGTTGGTTCGAATCACAGATCACAACCTCACAAAGGTCTGGTTTCTTGACGGGGAAGTGAGGATCTCTGTTTATGGAAGTTAGAAGGAAGCATCAAATCAGATTTGATCAGAAATGAGGCTTTAATGTGCAGCGTGAGGTTAAAAAAAGCTTGCTTTGTGCAGCGGAAAACACACAACTGGGCCACACGTCCACAGTTGGACCACTTCAGCTTCATTCCTGGGACGGATCACATTTTGACATGGACCAAAAAAAAAAAAAACTGGGAAATCCCCCTAAGGAATTTGAGGCTGGAAAACTGACCCGTCTTTTTTATTTTTCTTGGCGTTTATCAGATCTGTTGCGTGTTTAAAAGTGCAAATCAGACAAAGTTCAAAGCTCCCTTAATGCCTTCACAGCGCATCCCTGCGGGCGGGGACGGGGAAAAGGTCAAGTTCTTCGGCCAGTCCATACACGGCGTGATGGATCTGAACGGAGACGGGATCACCGACGTGACCATCGGGGGCCTGGGGGGGGCCTCCCTCTTCTGGTGAGAGCCGGCCCATCCTCATGCTACACATTCCACCTCAGTCCCCACCGGAAGTCCCAAACACACCCATCCCCACGTGTAAAGAGCCACTCCTTATGCTGCACAGGGGGTGTCAATCTCTGGCCCGCGGGCCAAATCTGGCCCACTTCTTGTAGTTATATTTGGCCCCGCTAGACCAGGGGTGCTCACACTTTTTCAGCATGGGAGCTACTTTTGAAATGACCCAGTCAAAATGATCTACCCGTTAGATTTATTGAGAAATATATTGAGGATTCTTACAGCTTATGTTGATGTATAACCACATATGTTGCACAACACAACATAATTATGTACATTTTAGTTGGTTACATATTACTTGGTCTAGCTCCCCCACTCATTTTCATAACCTATCTTACGTTTAAGAGGAAATTAGGATGTAACTACCGACTAGCTTGTTAGCTTTGCTGTTGTTCGAGCACGCACAGTGACCTAATTGTACGGAAAAAAATCCGATGTCATCTGACTGGTTGTCCTGTGTATCAATCAGGTGACGGGATGGCTGATAGGCTGACGTCTAGTTTTTATTCAAAACAACTCAACTTTATTTGTATAGCGCCAGTTCATGATAATGTCACCTCACCTTGTCATGCGATCTATCAATAGTACCTTGGAGATCAATTGGTAGATCGCGATCGATGTTTGAGCACCCCTGTGCTAGACAATACCAAATGACTAGGAGAGCTGGTATTATACTGTACAGACCATTAACCGCTCAGACTACAACTCCCATAATGCCCTGCTGTTGTTCAGGACAGGACCCAGAAACTCCTCTGTGACAGTAGCTACACACTACAGCTGTCACTGTGCTAGACTTCCCAAAAATGACCAAAAGAAAGGCAGGAAACAGGAGCTTTCTGGACATGCTAATTTTATTTTGATGTTTAATTCAGAAGGCTGCGAATAGACAAAATGTTTTAAATTTTATTTCATAAATGAATGCCATTGATGTGTTTTTTTATTTAACCCTATGCCAAATGTGTCATATTTGATCCGGTTTCTGAATTCTTTTGGATCTGAGACTAGTAGTAAAAGCTTTGCTCAAACCCCTGTTGTACACAAATTCAGATATACCTGATAACAGTAGAAGACTATATTTTTTACTTATTGCACGCTAATTTGATCAAAATAATTTCTGTTTTTCTTTGCTTCGTATGTTGTTGAGAGGCCAAAGAAAGACTTCAGACTAAAAAAATCCAATATTCTTCCAATTGTTCTTGGATCAGGCTTTAAAGGGTTAAATTTGATTTTCCATGTCTTCACTATTAAGTTATATATAATGTAATAAGAGTTGCTTGTTCCATATTCCGCGTTAAAGCAAAATTTGTTAAATCTTGGCCCGATTGGCTTTGATCAGGTTTTACATTTGTCCCACCGTGTTTTTGAGTTTGACACCCCTGTGCGCTACATTCCACCTCAGCCACCACCAGCTCACATCCTCCTCCATGTCTGCTTTGCATTGTCTCATTCGCATTTGGACAGCTGCGTGCGTCCCGCCGGGCTTGTAGGCCGGAGAGCAACGACTTCCTCACGATCCCTCTCCCCTCCAAACCCCCGCCCACACACAGGCCTCCACAGTTGGACAACGCTGTGCAGATATCAGCCCCCTAAACTCCGAAACTCTATAGCCCCCGCCATGACTTAGCTTCCCAGGCCGATCTTCTCCCACAGCTTTTACTGGCAGGAGCTCAACTGGGCTGTGTGAAAACTGCATCTCCCAAGAGGCCGGGAGTTTAAATAGAGACTGGCTGCATGCGGCTGCTCTTCCTGGACGGCTAGCTGGGTTTCGCAGAGCTCAACGGTCGGATGGAAAGAGCTGGAGCCAAGTTTTTTTTTTTCCCTGAAGATACAGAACATCCGTTTCTTGTTCCTGACTTTGACTTAAAGGAGACATATTATACCCTATTTCAACAAGTTAACCTAGTTCCCTGGTGTCCTAATGTAATGTCTGCGACAAGCTTTGGTCAGAATCCCATAAGGATGAAGCCCAATAGCAGTTCAGTCCCCCTGCCTAACCCTAACCCTAACCCTAACCCTAACCCTAACCCTAACCCTAACCCAAAACAGCCCCGTTCAGAGCGCTCGCTCTGGAGCGCCTGTCTCTTTAAATGCAAATGAGACACAGGCAATCCACCCACTTCTTCTGGGAGGTGTGCCCACGTCGGCACGCTAACGCTACCATGCTAACGCTACCATGCTAACGCTACCATGCTAACGCTCACGCTACCACGACGTCTGCCACAGATAGGCGGAGTAAGCTGAGGTGGGGGGCAACATG